CCCCCTCCCCGTTTAAATCCTTGTGTTGAATGTATTATTTAATTTCTTAATTATATACGAGCATATAAATATTACGAATAAAGAATTTTAACCAAACAACAACAACGAATAATAATAAATTCGAACGAAACGTATTATTATCCTTTATTCCTCGATCGATCGACGTGAAAATATTTCGCCGATAAAGATATTGTGTCGTTACAACTCTAATGAATCGAGACGAAACAAGTTATACATCTTACTGCCTAGATACTTACTTCTATCGTACCGGTTTTTGTCTATTTATATCTCTGATATTACCGTCGTTGCACTGGTATGTACGATCCATCCCTATGGACATCGTATACTTGACATACATGTTAAAAATACTTTCTGGTTTAAATTAAATTCCACCTCAAGAGTATGCATATCATTTGGCCATCGATAATACATATGTATATATATATATATATATAATATATATTATATACATAATATTATTCGGGTATCGGTTCGCGTGTCTCACGATCTCACGCACGAGCATCGTTTCTCATCAATATAATATGCGTACACACACACATATATATATACATATACATATATTATAGTATCGATGTAACGAAGACAACGAACTCGAATATACACGTGCTGAACACAAGAAAGAGCGGGACCATTCCTACTCGCCTATTTTAAAAAATCGTTAATCTATCTCTCGTTTCCGATGCTTTCGATATCAAAGATAACCACGCGCGTGGTTCGATAATCGTCGAAAAGAAAGAAAGAAAAAAAAAAAATTCGTATAAAACAACGACAACAACGTATCAATTCCGATGTTTGATCTCGCGATATTTCGCGAATATGCGTAATTAACTTCGAATTCGGCGACCGTGACTGATAATTTTTTTTTTTTTTTCGGAATGAGCAAGATTTATCTGATTTGAACGAGGAGAAGAAGGAAAGGGGGGAAGAAAAAAAGAAAAAAGATAAAAAAAAAGAAGCGAAAAATTGCAAGGATGTTTGATCCTCGCATCGATGTTCCATACCTTTCCCGATCTACGTCTGCGCGTGTCGGCCGGGTCTATAAAAGCGACGCAGGGCGTCGCGACGGCTCCAGACGCGACATACGCGCATAACTGAAAATGTGACATCGAGGGAGGGATAGAGATTTTATCGTTACCATCGTTGACAGATTAATCGAAAAATTTGTGTGAAAAGTCGAGAAGACGTCGAGGCCATCGCGGGGATAATTGGCTCGAGGCGAGACCCGAATCGATCGTTTCGTTTTTTTTTTTTTTTTGCGTATTCGTTCGGTCGGATTCGTTTCAGTGAACGGTACAATGTGAACATGTAGAACGTCCAAGGGACACGTATACAGAAGAGAAAGAAGAAGAAGAAGACGAGCGTTTTTTGTGAAAGTTGAAAACGACGTTGAAAACTCGGTGAATCAATCGAAACTTGGAACTCTGTGCGTCGATTCGTCATCCCGCAGACACACCTTTCTCATTCGTTCGCAAGGATTACCGGAATCGTTGTAAGTCGATCATCGATAAGAACAAATAATCACACTGTCTAACACGCTGTGCCAACAAATTAACCCTAACTTCATCAAACGTTCGAATAAATCGAGTGCTCGTTATTATCGATATTAATGGACACGGTTGTTGACAAGGATTGTGCGCAATGCAATTAAGATTTAACGAAGTGAGCATTATGAGATAAAAATTAGCACGTAATAAGAAGAGATATGATTCAATCGATGCGAATTTACGAACGTTTTCTTTTTTTTTTTTTTTTTTTTTTTTTTTTTTTTTCCCTCTCCTCTCGTTTACAGAAATTTCGTTCGCGACGCCCTTTTCCCTCCTTCTACCCCTTCTTCCCTCTCAAAGTGTTGCGTGCAAAGGTATAAAGGGAAACGGGATATATCGGTTCTCTAAATCCCTGACACGCGTCAAAATAGTTCCTGGTAAACAGAAATGTTAAATATAACGTGGGACTGAAACTTTTGTCAGAGTGAGAACCGGCGAGAACCGGCAAACGGAATTAAGGGAAAAATAATCGGTTGTTAAATTTCACGAGAATCGAAAAAAGAGTGAGATTTACGTAAAAATAGAGACGCGTGCGCGCGTGTAAAATAAAATTCAGGGAAGAGAGAGAATTATCTCGAGGGAAAAAACGACAGCTACGACAGGCGATAAAATTCAATTCTCGCGTCCAAAAAAAGTTTTAAACGTCGATTGTTTCTCACGAGGCGAATCGACGTTTAAAAAAAAAAAGTAAAAAAAGAAATGTCTTTGGATCGAACGAAACGGCTAATAAATTTTTGCCACGACGACACGCCTTCTCGAATTTTTTTTTTCCTTCTCTCTTTCTTCTTCTTCTTCTTCTTTCTCCTCCTCCTCCTCTTCTCAAACAAAAAGTGAGAAGTTTTTTAATTCGTAAGCGGAATCGGGGACGAGAACGAACGATAAAGGAACGATTTGACGCGCGTTGCTGCAGCGAAATCCTTGCTATTGATCTAGGCAGCTCAAAAGGTCCTGGGTTCACCCGCCCAACCTCCACCATTCTCCCCTCGCCTCTCCACCTTGTATTTAGTCCTTCGCCTACACGCTCTATCGGGGACGAGGATCTCTCTCCCAAATTTTGCTTCTCCGTCCATCTTTCTTTTTTAACTTCGGTTTAATTGAAAAAAAAAATCTGAATTAACCGATCTTCGATCTTCACCTCGTAAATCGCATCGAAGATAACGTTCGACACGACAGGAGATAGATGGGAAATAATCGTTGACCGATTCGTTTGGACGAGTACAAGGGCAAGGGCGATTCTTACAAATCGCAGGAAACGAAGAGAAAGAGAGAGAGAGAGAGAGGGAGAGAAAGAGGGAGAGCGATGCCCTCTGCGATACAAAACTACTACCGTGTTAAACACGTTTCACGCTTGATCGGCCGTTTGTCAGGAACGACGGTGTCGTAGTTGGCGCTTACGTAAGTTCGCTAAACCGGATGAAGAAGAAAAGTTTTCACGATCAAACGATTGACGAGCATGAGAAAACGAGCGGATAAGAAGGGAAGAATTTGAAAAACTTTAGAGGGAAGGGGAGGGAGGGAAGCAAGGAGGATGAATAAACGGTATAACGGTCGGTTTGATTTCAGATGAAACTTCACGAGAAGAAGGAATCCGGGATACACAGAGTGCAGGAGATTCCTTTGGAGGAATTGGAGCTCTCGAAAGAGTACGAAGTGGAGAAGACCCTCGGGGAGGGCAGTTTCGCCAAAGTGTTGTTGGCCACCCATCGAGCCACACGAACGAGGGTAGTTCTGAAAGCCGTCCACCAAGAGCTGACCACGGAGAAGGACTTTTTCCGCGAGTTCCACTACTCGTATCACTTAAGCCCGCATCCGAATATCCTGTGCTCGTACGCGGTCGCGTTCAAGGCGGAGAAGTGTTTCGTGTTCGCCCAGGAATACGCCCCTTACGGGGACCTTGCCGGGAACGTGAGGGCAGGGGGTTTGAGCGAGGAGGCCTGCAAGAGGATCGCCAGCCAGCTTTGCTCCGCGCTCGACTTCATCCACTCGAAGCAGCTCGCGCATCGGGACATCAAGTTGGAGAACGTGCTTGTGTTCGCCCTCGACATGTCGAAAATCAAGCTGTGCGATTTCGGGTGCACGAGGCGGGAGGGGACCCTGGTGAACAAGATCAGGTGCACCTGGCTACCCTTCCAACCGCCCGAGATCTACGAGATAGTGAAGAACGAGAGATACGCGTGCAAGAGGAGCGCCGATTGCTGGCAATTCGGGATCGTTCTGTTCGTGTGCCTGACGGGGAATCCACCGTGGCAAACCGCGGACCTCATACAGGATCCCGAATACTCGGCCTTCCAAAGGTGGCTGAAGAGACGGACGACCAAAGTCCCCCCGTCGTTCAGACGGTTCACGCCCAGGTTGCTGCGATACTTCAGGAGAACGTTCGAGCACAAGCCCGAGAAGAGGCCGCACGTGACCGAAATCAACAAATACTTGAAAGACTCGTGGTGCGTGAACAAGATCAGTCACAGCGCTACGTCCACGTTGGTGGACGCAAGCGAGGGGGTAGCGAGGAGGGCGGACAGTTTGCTGTACCTCGACACGATCCTCGATGATCAACGGAACGTGGACGAGAACAAGAACAAGTTGAGGAAGCTTCTCAACAGTTACGGGCTCGAGACGACGATCGATCAGAAGGTTGTCACGAAAAGGATCTGGGAGTGGGTGATGCAGTGCGACTCGAACATAGCCGAGCCGGCGTTCGTGGGTAGTTTCGGGACAGAGAGTATGTGAGGGATGGTCAAAGCTTCTAGCGAACCTTGCCTTAGAAGCGAACGTCAGAAACGAAAGTATAGTTTCGGTGGGTTCGACGCTGCCCGCGAGGGAAACGCACCACCCTCTTCGCTATGTGCCAAACCAACGTTCGAAAGAACGGCCACGAATTCACCTTCGATCCTTCATTAGAGAGACAAGGTGCCGTCGTTCACTCGCCTTTCACTTTCCAATACCAAATTCGAACGCTTTACCGATATGGACGTGAAAATGTGTGATAATTCCCCCTCATTCTCCTCTCCTCCCTCCTTGTGTCTTTTATTAACGTATCTCTTCTCCACCCAATTATCCACACGACTCACGCTCTCACCTATTCCGATCCTTTCTCTGATGATCCACGTCATTTCCCTCGCTGCATCAATCTTCTCTACGAGCGGACCAATTATCGACAAATGTATGTGCGTTATTTATTATCGCGTACAAACATCTTTCGTACGCTTCCTCCTGCGTGGAAGACCCTCGAGACGAGAATTGCCTAAAGACTGTACGAAAAAGTTGAGTGCGATGAATGCGAGAGATAACCGGGGCGATCCTGAACGCGAAACGAATGTGATAGATAAAAAAAGAGAAAAGAAAAAAGAAAAAAAAGAAAAAAAGAAAAAAAATAGAAAAAAAGAAAACTCGTTAAGACTGGGACGAGCGAATGCGAGCGTAAATGCGAAATCGGTGTTTTCGGTGTCGACTATAGAGACAATAATGACTGCGGATTTCCTAAATAATTTATTACATTACGATAATTATAATAATAGTTTAAAAACGAAACGGTAACCGGTAGAGATCACTGTACGAGGCCTTGCGTGAAATCGAGGATTTCGTTCCATCGTGCAATCGTAAGAGGAAACACGTTCTAAACGTTCGCGGCGAAAAATGGAGCGAAAAATTTGGAAAAAAAAAAAAAAAAAAAAAACTCGAATAGAGATTAATTCGGTATATAGCGTCGTTAAGCGATATAGCGTATGCATAAACATAGCGCGCATATATTCTTTTAGCAATTTATCGGTAGAAGGAGAGAACATATAGAAGTCGATCGATGGTACACAATTTGGTAGAGCTACCTTACCACGAAACAGCAGGCTATACACGCGCAGTGACGCGTATTCTTCCCCTACGTAATGCGAAATTTGTAATTAGTAAAATTGTATTATATAGAATTCAAGTTGCTACAAACGAGGAAGAGGAAAACAAGAAGGGAAGAAATATGCAATAACAACGCGTTGGGCCTCCGTTATCGCGAAACAATGTTTTCTATATAAATGATATCGAAATAAACGCATTAAATATAAATACAATTGCAACACAGTCTATGATAGTATTCTCTCGAGTCAGCCTCTCTTTTTTAAAAATTGTTAGATAAAACTTATTATTCTTTCTTGTAGCGAATGAAAGAAGGAAAAATTGTTCGAACGATTCAACAAACGAAACTGTTCGCTGGTTGAACGAATTTATTTTCTTCAAGGAAAAAAGAGTTATCAAAATATATCTGACTTTACATTTACATTGCGATATATTTCCGCGATGTTTTTTAATTACGAGCGAAACATCTACTATATATACATATTTAAATACGTGAAACATTTTTCTTTCTTCTTGTCCTTCAATCTCGCGTCTCAAATGGAAAAGAGAGCAACTAAAAGGACCATCGAGGAATACTTGACCTTTGACCTTTTTTTTCCTTTTCCCAAATCCGCGAGTTTCGCAGCCATCATGAACGTGCTACTTGTCCGATTTGACACACCCTTGACCTACGAGACACCTATTTTTCTAGAGTTGTCGACTTATTTTCTATATATCTAATCGTCCAATTCTTAAAAACGAGTAAAATCACGTATTCTCTTTCTCGATAGGAGTAACAAAAATAATTAAAAATATTCTTTTTTACGAGCATCGACATCTGAATTTATAAATGTGCGTTTAACGTGCATGGATTTCATCGAATATTCGTAATCGTGCTGTTAAAGTGAAATCACAAAATTTATTATGCGATTTTAGAGAAGAGCGAAAGATTCGCGGAATCGTTGACGTTGAATATTTCGAAAACTGTTCGTTTCGACATAAATAAAATAATAATTTTGCTAGAAAAATTTTCGTAAATATTATTACGTATCTATTATTGACATAAGAAGAGGTAGATTAAGAAACGTCAAACTTCTACTATTACTACTACTATTACTACTACTACTGCTACTACTAACGTATATTCGCCTTTTATCCGTATACGATGGGGTATTTTGGGTTTGCGCGCTACTATTTCCGCGCATCGCGCGTTTATTCTGAATCGTTTGCTTTCCCAAGTTACGTACTTCTACAACATGCGAACATATCTACCTCGTGTGAAAACATGCGTACGTATATACATACAGGTATAATAATATAGAATGAAAAAAAAAAATCGCGATAGAAAAATATACTCGAATCTATGATATAAATATAAATATTCTTTTCGTCACGCTAGATATAAATGGTAACGATTCATATGTAAATAAATAATGTGAAGATTATTTTAAAATATTAAAGGATACGTATAAGCGTAAGATTGCGATAATACCGAGACCGTGAATTTGGAAACAGAGAGGAAGAGAAAGAAAGTTGAGGCAGCGGACGGCTCGTCGCCGAGTATCTCGTCATCGATCCTCCGGTCCAACAGCCCGACGTCTATTTTCATACAGGCTAACCTATTTATATGTACGGACAATGTTCTACTTTTATCGGCCGATGAGAACAGCAAGCAACCGCGCGTCACATCGTGTCGGAACTCGATATATCGTGTAGATTGCTCTTCAGAGTACCGAACAAATCTGCATCGTGCTATTTCACGAGTTAACTGGTACCACGTGCTTATATACATTATACTTATATGCCCCCTACCGCTAACACGCCTTCATGTTTTACGATCTCCCTTTTGATTTCTTGACGTCAAAGAAGCGCTCTCGGAACGATAACGTTGAGTATCAGGAAGAAAAGATTCGACAAATATACGAATTGAAAATTATTCGGAAGAAAGATTTTAAAACTGAAACGTCTACTTACCAAATTACAAGTTGTTATTTTACTGAAAATTGCGCTGAACATTCTGTATTTTCTTCCGAGTTTGGAGATGTCTTCCATAGCCTGTCGAATTCATCGACGAATGGCTTCACTAACGAATGTTGATTAGTCACTATTATATGATCGAAATTTCCAAAAAAAGCAGACATTGTCCAATTCGTACTACCAGTGATTAATATATCATTATCCACAATCGCGAATTTATGATGCATTAAACCAACGTAATATTCTAATTTAATTGTGACCCCTAAAACGCAAATAATTTCAAAATTCTAAGAAAAAAATTAATTGAAAATCGTTAATAATCGTTAATAATAAAGAATTGAAAGTTATTGGATAATGTATCTAATGTATATATAATAATAATAATAAATATACAATAATCATTTTTCACATACCATTCTTATAAAACAAAGCCGTTTGCGCGGCTTCATTGCAAGCCATACTTCGATCCATTATTATTCGAACAAGTACTCCCCGTTTATGTGCGTTTACGATTGCATTTGATAACAATTGACAAGTTAACATGTACATACAAATATCTAAACTTTTTTTTGCTCGGTTTATATAATTTTCTAACTTTCTATAAATATTATTTACCGTTTGTTAAAAAATACATACATATAATATTTATAATTTAATAAGTGATTATATGTATTACCTCAAATATTGAACAGAACAAGTGTCTTTGAGACAAATCTCTTTATTAGCTAAATGTGTTCGACAAAAACTAGATTCTTTTGTAAAAAACATCACCTCTGAAATGTCTTGTTTCGATTCATAAATGTTTGTTTTCAAATCTTTGCAAGTGTTTGTAGATTTAATCCATAAGTTATGAACTTTTTTGTACAAATACCAAATGATTTCCGACGCAAAAACTATTCCCCCTACTAGGAAAATTTTGTGTTTCATTTCTAGAATAAAAATTTCAAATATATTTATATAATTAGAAATAACAATGAAAATTATATTAAATTTAATAATAATTGTATATATGCGTATATATATATATATATATTTTTTTTTTTCGATAATATTTTTTATTGGCTTAGGCGTATATATGAATCACGAGATATTCTAAACTATATAGTGGACATAAGAAATGAATAAAAATGGTTTTATAAAAAGAAAAAAGACTATTAAAAATAAATAAAACAATTAATAACAATTAATAAAAATACGAATGTTGTGTTCCAAAATATTTAACCTAAAATAATTGAATCAAATTATAATGCAAATTAAATAGCAATTATAAATCTCTAATATGATAAACATAATACAACACACCTGCGCATATACTTTTTAAGATCTTTAATTAATTCTAATTTTTGCTTTAAAAATAACAAATAATTGAATCAATAGATAGCTAACTTTACCGCCACTACGAAACGTTTAACTTGTGAAGTTGTCTTTCAGTATTGAAAACAGTTTAATTTTACACACTAGATCTATCTAGATATTTTCTGGATATTTTATATTAAGAGTGTTTCTTACTCTGATATGAATG